CCCCTCCACCTCACTATTACCCATCCTTGCCCCTAAACCTCATCTTGCACAGGCCCACACCATGGGTGTCCCGCCTGGGCCAGCTCCAGCACTTTAAGAAAAAAAACCCAAGAAAAGCCCCAGGACACCAGTCCTGCAGTGGCCTCAGGGCTTCGGGAGTTCATGCAGAGCCCCGCACGTGGTGCGGGGCAGCAGGGAACAGCGAGGATCGCCCCTAATCACCAAATCGAATCACTGCCCCTCGAATCGGCCGAATCCGAAGCGAATATTAGCCACTTTGCACAGGCCTACTGAAAAGGTCATTTAAGGAAATACAGTTGCAGATGCCCAGGCATTGTTTTATGGTTTGTGCCTCCTTAAAATTGTCAGCACAGAGTTAAAATACAGCCCCATACACACACATATGACCACTGCACACTGGAGGGGGATGGCTGGTGATACTAAAAAGAGTGACTCCCTGAGGTGTCATGAGTTCATTTTTGCAAAGAAAGGGTAGACGATGCTATCACAGAGCTAAGCCTTGTCACAAAGCTCCTCCACTTTCTGCAGGTTTAAATACTTGATTGACATCCTTTATTATAACCTGACCTGCATAATAAACCATACAGGAGCAGGAGACCCAACTTGCATTGCCTTATGCCATCTGAGCCATTCAGACCAGGGCACACTTCTACACTGTCATTTGCCTGGGTATAAGTGATACACAGCGCAAGGCAGTGGAAAATCAGATGTCAAGGGACGTGAAGTAGCTAAGATACCTGCTTTCCCTCTTTAGAGTCCTAGAGGTGCCCTACGCTTACCAGTGTTGCGCCTATGGAGCCTGCAGCAATTTCTTTAAGCTATCCAATCAGTGGGAAGCAGAAGACATGAACCCTGAGGATGAGGACCTCCACAAGAGGACAGTGGGATTTTTTCCTGGTCACGCCGATAACCACTGTAAGTAAATTTGGTGGAACTGTGATCAGTTCATGGGCTAGATCACACGCTGTTCTCTTGGACCTAGCCCTTCATTCACTTACCCAGAAATAAATCAGGAGTAATGCCATTGGAGGCAGTGGAGTTATACAAGGTAAAAGAGATGCAGGAGGACTAACAGTTTGCCATGCCTGCCTGTCAGGGGATGTATCAATTATTGTGAATGACAACACCAAGCCCTGCAAACTGTGGGAGTTGGGCTGGAAATTTTTAATCATCCCCATTTTGACAGAATGGCTTGAAACTTTGTCATGGGCTGGATGCCTGTGGCCTCCCACTCAGAGCAGAGCAGGCTATACCCAGGCGCCTCCAGTCTCCTTTAGTTTCAAGACTACCCATCACTTCAAGCAGCCTGCAGCAGGTTGATTGTTAGGCAGTCCTGTAACCCTGGTGTAATCCAGCTTTGAGGTAGAAGGCCGACTCAACCACATCTCTATCTCTGGAATAACACCTTTAGCAGGGACTCTCCTCAGGGTTAAACTCATGAAAACTGGTTGAAGAGATATGAGAAAACATAAAAAGCTAAACTTGACGAACTGGAAATTAGAGAACAAAATGAAAATTGGCCCATCTCTCCTTTTCTGCATACAATTGTAATAACAGGGCAAAGGGCTAAATAGAGCATGACTAGAAGAAGAAGTCAGCCTGCAGAATCAGAGGGCGCATCCCCCTATGCAGGGGTCTGTGCTTGCAGTGGCAAAAAAAAGTACCAAGTCTCTGTCAGCACACACTCCTGGGGCATCTGCCATGCTGCTGTTTTCCCCCCGTGTTTCTTTTTTGCTACTGAGATTTCCCAATAGCAAATATTGCAAAAATTTGCAGCGCGGGGCACATTTTAACGTGTTAGGCATGCAGTGTGCGGCACCACAAAGAGGTCTGCAGCGTGTCTGGATCCAACCAGAGAAGTTAAGTGCTGGGGCCAGGTTATGAAGGAGCCATGATGATTCTATACGTAAGGTTAAACAGTTTTTCTGTGCAAGAGCTAATGTTTCAAAATGCTCTAAAACTGCTTAACCCATCCAGCCCCGTGAGCTGAATGAGTGGTTCAGGTTTGGTCTGCAGGTCAGATCTGGTGCGTGGGATCAGTCCCCTGCATCAACCTGACCCCACACACTACATCCATTTGTGGACTGACCCCACTCACTGGGTGGACTTCACGCTCCAAATCTGGCCTCAGACTGGCCCCATACACTGGCCAGACCTCGTGCTCCAGATCTGGCTGCAGACCAGCTCCATCTACTAGCCCAACCCAGCATGCACAGCCATGTTGTCCAGCCTGAGGGGTTCTTCATAGGTCCAGAAATTTGGGAGGTGGGGCATGGGAAGCATTAACTGCTGTGGCAATTGCCTAGACCTGCATCAATTACTGCTGCCACCACTCCCCTTCTGCCAAATTACTGGACCCACTGGAAGCCCCATGGGGCACATTACACAGCTCTATGGGCTACATCTGGGCCAGAGGCTGTAGGTTGAGCACCACTGCTCCAAAATATATATATTTAGGCTGATTGCCTAGAAAACTGCTGACCAGCAGCAGAGCCACAGCTAATGCTGGTGATGGAAATTTAGGGTTATTTGGTTGAGTGAATCAGCACATGGAGCCTCCTCCCCCCATTACCAAAAAGCCCAGCTTCTAAAACGTGCTCATCTGTACAGTGTTGTGTGTCCAGAGTTCTGGACAAAAGTCTAAAATTCTGATCATCCTGAAATCTGATGTGCTGTAGAGGAAAGTGGGGTACCATTTAAAGTGTAAATTTGGGATCTTTTCATCAGGGAACGTCCAAGAACAGCCTTCCCCCACAGGTCACCTGCTACAAGGTATTCTTAAATGCACACGAGAAGAAAGACTACTTTGAAAAGAGCTCTGCTGCCTCAGGGGTCATTTGGTCAAGGTTTTCTTGAACCCCTGCAGCCCAGTGACCATGACTAAGGGAAAATAAAATGACTGATTGGCTTGAAAACTGGACCATGAAGCAGCTGCATGACTTCTGCATTTGCTGCTGTGAAAAGCTGCAATATCCAGTCTCATTCTGATCAGATATATCAATAGAAGCAGCGACTGGTATGTTTTGCCTAGAGAACTTCCCTAAACAAAATCTGACCACTTGCTAGACGAGTGTGAGCTGGATTTTTTTATTTTTTTTTACCGGAAAAAAGGATTTTCAGATAAACACAAATAAAAACATGAAACTCCTTGGTTCCCATTTAGCTGCTAATACATGAATTTGAGGAGCAAAGCAATAACATTTCAGTGCTCAGCTTGGCCTGTGTGTTTGTTTATCTGTTTGTGTAAATACAGAGCCCACACACATGGAAAAGATTTGGCGGGCCTTGAAAGGAGAAGCACATCCAGCTGAGTCCTCCATTATCGCCAAGACATGCGCTGTGCATTAGAAGAGGGGGCACTGCTCCCCTTCACACTTACCCACTCCTGGGATCACTGGTGCAAATTGGTGCCAACCTGTTCAGTTAGAGCAGCCCAACAGGGCTGCTGCAATATCAGGTGACTAGCCTCACGTAAGGAAGCTCAGGCCATGTCCCCTGCACTAGCAGATTGGTAACAGAGAAGAACCCTGACTCTGTGCCATCATCTTCCAAGGCCAGCCACACCAGCTTCATAGTGCTTTGTGCTAGAGTTGCAGCACCCAACAGCTGAACCACAGGGCCGTTATTTTTTTGGCAACGTAGAAAGAACACTGTCTACCCTTGCTTCCCAATGCATTCAGTACAGTGCATTTCCCAGACTGGAATCCAGAACCCAGCGTGAGGCCTCCAGGTTCCCCGTACAGGACACGGGGAGAGTGAGCTGCGTCAGAAGGGTGATCCAGAAATTGCCCTCTGAGCAGGGAGCTTCCTAAAGTCTGGCCAGCAGAAAAGCAAAGCACAGGGCTGTGTCTTTTCACTTGTTTCTACCACAGCAGCAGCAGGTCCCAGCAAGGAGAGGTCCCCCATGCACCCCTCCAACACCCACTGACACTCTCTAAATCTGACCCCTGCACCCCAGTTTGCAGTGACACCATATGGGGCTCATCCCCAGCCCCTGCTCACAAGCTTGCCAGAGACCAAGGGCTCAGGAGCAAGTGCAGAGGCACAAGTCCACAGCAGCTTCATGGATGTATTTCCAGGGTTGGAGTGTGCCTAAGGGTGCAGGTGGACAGGATGGGCTCAGCCTTGACTTTGCCAGCCCCTTCCACCACCAAGGGTGGCCAGCCTGCCCCTACAAGTAGCACAGACAACCTCTGTGTGGCACGTGGCAGATCAGGGGAAAGGTGGCATAGTGACAGGAAGGGAGGAAGGCAGAGTGGCAAATCAGGCAGGGAGGAGAAGATCAGGCAGGAAGCATAGGGCATGGAGCAGAAAGCAGAGGAGCAGATCAGGCAGGGGAAAGGGAGCAGAGTTGGCACTCAAGGAGGAGGTGGAACTAATTTGTGGCAAGCCTGCCAAAAAGGTTAGCCCCCACTACTGTAGACAAGCTTTTAAGTGTCACCCCTCTCCAGAGCTTAGATATTTGAGTGAAGGCTCCTGACGGGCAGCTCCATTCACGCAAGCCATTCTGCTTTGACTTTGCCACTTTAACCAGGACAGTATATGCATCAAAGCAAAATGTTCGGTAATTTCCCCTAGATTTTGACCAAATTAACATGTCTGTGACACGTTTCAGTTTCATGAATTCAACATTTTGACAGAAAAATATTCCTTTAGAGACTTCTTGAACACTCTAGAAACAAAAATGACTGGCTGTTGTTTGCCCTAATGTTCTGATCCTGGAAATGGGGGGTACCAGAGACTCTGGGAGGAAATACTAGTAGCTGGGGGTTTTGTTTTTTACTGTCATCATCATTGTCAGGCCACTTTCCTGTTAACATCAATTTTACATGGGAAGCTCTCACGTGCTATGGTGATGGGCAGAAGCATAAAACCAACAGCACAGATACAGACAGATTTCAGTCAACACCGGAGTTATTGAGCTAAGACATGCCCCACAGAAGCTGCATTATTTACCAGTGTGGTCTGTACACCCCATATATCAGGTCCTAAGCCTCTGCAGTTGGAAAGGTCTGCCTAGAGGCCAGCAAAGCTGATCCTTGCTAGCATGACATAGATCCAGGAAGCATGGCAGACTGGGTGGTAACAGCAAGCAGACAATGCACAGGAACCATCTGTTAATGTCATTGCAGCAGGAATTTCTACTCAGCCTGGTTGTTTTTCCACTATTAAAGCATCCCACACTATAACAGTCCTGGTGCATATAGCTGGGGCACTTGCCCAGCAAATTACAGCAGTTTCCATGAGATGTGAAGAGAGCTGTATGTGCTGAGAGTTTTCCTGACACTTCCTGCAAAATTGCTCCTTCTGGGAGTTATTCACTAACTGCCAGTTGATCTGCTAGCTGATCTCTCATGGCCTGATCCTGCCAGTGGCTGAACATCTTCAGCTCCCAATCAGGGCAGTGGGACTAAGGGTTTCCAGCACTTCCAAGAGGCTCTGACCACCTTAAACCAGGAGACTCAAATTTGTTTGGCCCCATAGACCCAATCCAGTTTGTGAAGCTTCCCATGAGCTGGACCACCTGCAAGAGGTGGTGATGTTAATCCCTGCAGCTGCCAGATCTACTGTTTTCAGAACAACTCCAGAATAAGGACATGAACACCACTGCCACTTGCCCCACTTTCCCTTGTTGCCGATATTAGTCACTAAGGGCAATTAAAATCCCCCATTTGGCAATGGATAAAGGGCAGGAAGGTGAGCGGCATTAACTCCCTGGGTTCTGGAGCCAGGCTGAAACAGCAGCTGCAGCATTAACACCACCGCTGCAAGGACTCCAGCAGCTGTGGTGACAAGCCCCCATGGGCCCACTGAAGTGGGTAATCCAGCCCACAAAAAGCCCTGTGGGCCAGATGTTTGACACCCTGCCTTCCAGGACAACCAGAAAGTGGGGTTGAACAATTCTTATAGCGTGCACCAGAAGAGGCTCTTGGGAACCTAGAGGGATGGACCCACCCTCAAGTCAAATGCTAAACCACTTCAAAGATAAATCGCATGATCGCAATAGTATTAGCATGTCCTTAGCTAAGCAGGACCCACGTGCTGCCGTGAAGCTTTCCATGATGGACCCCTTGCAATTGCATCACCTGCACATTAACTACTTGTGCCAGCGTGGCTTTTAAACGTTTATAAATGAACCATGTAATTCACTGAGAATTGTTTTATTTCTATTCCCACTAATTTCCAGGCCCTGTTTACATTAATTTGCAAAGACAGTACATCTAGTGCCTGAGGATATGCACATAGAACAACTGACTTCAAGATACAAGGAGATGGGACTTGACTGTACATCAGCTGCTCTGCAGGAACTGCCCATGTGTATGCTCTTATCCAGCCATAAGTGGAATCTAAAGGAGGGGTAATTTCCCTTTCTTGTTGAAGGCCAGAGCTACAGCAGTTCAGTTTCCATGTATTAGGGGTATGAAAGTGCACATGGGTGATTACAGTAAAGCAGCTGATGCACAGTAAAGCCCTCTGTTATCCCCATAGTAAATTGTTCAGATGTCCAGATCTTTGGTAGGAACAAAGCTCTCTGACCATCTTTACCACTACTGAGATAAAGCTGCCTGCTCAACAGCAATTAACACAGGATTTTGCCCTGTAATATGTGTCCATGCCCATTTGGCCAGTTCACTGCAGTAGAAGAGCCTATGATAAAGATGAGGAGGGGGGCAGGTGTTCGAATAGTAAACCCTAGCTCTTGGATCCTGCCTCCACCAGGAATAGACTAGCTAGTGCCACTTTCTGATGACGCTTTGTCTGTGTGACAGCCGTAAGCAAAACACAGACTAGATTTCTGTTCACACATAGAAGCCTTACGTTTGGGTCTGAGTTTGGTGCCTGTGAGAGAATAGGAGTTTTAACACCCATTTCAGTGGGAACAGAGCATGCGAACTGTGTGCAATGTGGGCTGCTTGGACTAAAGGACACTTACAGGAATACCTACCTTTTCCAAACAAGTTGCCCAAGTTGTTCTTACAGCCTTCAGTAAAGCAAACAGCAGATCATGTCTGGAGAACTGAGCAATGCAGCCTCTTCCAGCCCAGCTGTTCGCATGCCAGTAGCCTAAATGGGGCAGCAGGGGAAAACTCCAGCTCATTGCCCATCAGCCTTTAGTGCCTATCTCTTTAAGAAAAGATGTATTCAGAAATTCTGAGTTGTACAAGTCCTGGTTAAGGCAGAAGACATGTAGGGGGTGAGATCTATGGTTAATACAGAGGTTCAGTCTTCAGTTTTGCCCTACTGTCTGTTCTAATGATCACACTTCAATGCTATTCATGAAGCCCCTAGAATAAAACACTAATAGCAATGTTACCTTCTCAAAGCCCAGGTCCAAAGGCTTGTAGGTGCCTTAGCAGAATTAGATAAACAAGTTATGGGCTATTACAAAAACAAGGCAACCTGCCCTGCTAAAACAGAGCTGTGCACTGTTAAAACATTCACACTCTAAAAGGAATAGCTCATTTTCTCCAGTGCTTTCTGGGCTGACGTGTGTCCATGTTTCCAGAGAAGAGAAGAACTCCCAGTTTACATTTCCTGCCTGGGGCTGAGTCGTGCTGGCCGAGGACCATGCTGAAATACGGACCATTTGTTAAATATACAGTGACCAGGGAGCCTGGTTTAGCAGCCTTCCCTAAAGAGAAATGCCACCCTGTGGGATGAGGCAGAGAAAGGCAAGGCCTCTGCTTGGATATTTGGGGACCGAGGCTTTGCATGGCTGGGTCTGCTACACAGTGGATGGACGACTCAGTGGATTTACAAGACCACAAAGTAAAAGAAGGAAATATTATTCCACCCCATGGTGGGTGTGGTTTTTTTGCCAGGCTCCAAAGCAGCAGCAATAATTCAGCCCTTACAAACAGATGAAAATCAGCTGTTCCTTTCCAAGGGTTCCTGGAACCAGGAATACGACAAGCCGTGTCAGGCAGTACTGAAGGCAGCACATTATTTGCCATCATTATTTAGTAATATGCTGTAAGTCTATAATATGCTACAAGGCATGGGTAGGCAACCCCTGGTGCAGGTGCCAGAGTGTTGCACACAAAGGCATTTTGCTCGGCATGCCTACCTGGGGGCAGGTGACAGGGAAAGGGCCAAGGCTGCGCTGCCACAACAAGGATTGGGCCCCTTACAGTTCCCTCACCATCTGCCCTTGGCATGCCAACATCTTACAAGTCAAGGTTGCGGGTGTTTTTGGCGCTGTCCAAAACCATTGCTGACCGCTGCTATAAGGCTATATGCAACCCTCTTAAGTACTTTGGTCAATACACACAGGCATCACTTGGCATCTGGATACATCTTTCCAGCTGTGAAAGTCTGGCCCAATGTTCCTGAGGGCATGGCCTCTGGGGATGTCCCGGGGTTGTATACTCATAGCAACCACTGCTGCTTACATCAGATAGCCACCTGGAAATACAATCCCCACCACCACCCAGCAGCAGATGAAGGATGCCTGCCACACCTCTGTAGTGAGGGATCTAGTCCTAGGTGCTGTCTGAAGAATCTTCCCATGCCTTGAAGGGCAGGAAATGTGGACTCAGACAGGATACTCCAGAGCAGGGCCTCTGCCCAGCAAGGATGTCCTACAGAATCCCAAGCCAGTGCCAGATGGCAGCAAGCCTTCAGAAGACCTTTACATTTATCATCATCATCATCACTGATGGCACAAATCCCTGTCCAATCTCCCTCCCAACTCTTCCACCCCCTAGAACCTCTGCATCTATCTGTGCCTAAAATATTTTTGTGAATCTGGTTCATAGCATAATATTAAATAATGATGACAAATAATGTGCTACCTTCAGTGCTACCTGACAGGGTTTGTGGCTTTCTTGGTTTCAGGAAGCCTTGGTTTCAGGAACAGCTGATTTTCATCTCTCTGTAAGGGCTGAAATATTGCTGCTGCTTTGGAGCCTGGCAAGAAAACACCCACCGTGGGGTGGAATAATATTTCTTTTTTTTTTACTTTGTGGTCTTGTAAATCCACCGAGTCTTCCATCCACTCTGTTGAAGACCCAGCCATGCAGAGCCTTGGTCCCCGGAAATCCAAGCAAAGGCCTTGCCTTTCTCTGCCTGATCCCACAGGGTGGCATTTCTCTTCTAGGTAATGCTGCTAAAACAGACTCCTAAGTTACTGTGTATTTAGCCGGTGGTGCCTACTGCAGGTCAGTCTTCAGTGAGCACAACTCAGCCCCAGGCAGGAAGTGTAAACTGGGAGGTTCTCTCTTTACTGGAAATGTAGACACACATTAGCCTGGGAAATGGAGAAAATGAGCTCTTTCTCAATAACAGTAATAAAATGATGTTGCATAGGTCCCAGTCATGGAACAAAACCCCATATGTGGTACCAGGCGTTATATAAACAGGGCATGTCTACACATCAATATTAATGCAACATAGTAAACTCTGGCACAGGGGACACCAGAATTTATTGCTTCCAGGCACAGCATTTTACACTTGCACCCAGGACTGCAGCACATCAAGCCGAGGCAGGACAGCCCCGGCAGCCAGAGGGCCCCGGGGGGTCAGCCTGTCAGCCCACGGCTGCTGCTGCCTGGCTCAGCATGCTGTGGAGGGGCTGGCCAGGGCATGAGGGTGTAATCAGAAAGGCCAGGGACATCCTTTGATTAAAAAGAAAAGCCATGCTGGGAATTTTCATGCAACCACGTGTTTCTGCAATCTGGGACTTCAATTAAACATCAAATATCATGAGATACATGTTAAAATCAAGAGGGTGAGCCACACTGCATTTCCCACAGCCTTCACAACACACCCTTTTCTGCCCAGTAGCAATTACAAGATGCAAACAAGACAGTAACATCTCTCTTAACTCTGTATAATAGCCAGGCTGGTCTGGCAGACATGGGAAGCAGAAAAGATCTTGGCACTAATTTGGCAGTAACTGCTCTTACTACTTCCCTGAAATGCTCTGTTTTGAGCCACAATTCCTGTTTTCTTTTCCTTCCTAGATGACCTAGACATAGATGACTTCCAGCTGGAGCTTGAGGAGTCAAAGCTGCACCCCACTATTCAGTGCACCCCCAGCCCTGGTGAGTAGTGAGCCCAGGGGAAATCCCTTATCTACACACACACACACACACACACACACACACACACACACACACACACACACACACACACACACACACACACACACACACACACACACACACACAAAATATTCAGGCCCTGCTAAGCTAGTTGTCTACCATGACCCCAGCCACTGGGCTCCTGCCCATCTCCATACACATAAATCAAAAGCCAGGCTCAGTGCTGGTCAAATGTGGACAGGAATGGATGAAGGGTTTCCTCTCTCCATGGTTGAAGTGGACCAGCTGCCCTCCATGGAAAAGAAGATCATAGTAGCCTACTCCTCCTATTGCCCTCCATCCTTCCCAGGGGAGGACTGCATCAATTCCCATGCCCAGGAAGGCTGTGTACCCTTGTACAAAGGGCAACTGGATTTCGTCTATCACAGACTAGCATAGGACGCTGCATGCCAGCCTACCTAGCCTGATACCACACAAATCAGGGTTCACCAAGACACCTGCATGTGTGGGTTGCTCTGCAAAGGCTGATCTGATACTAAAGATCAAGCCAAATTGTGCTGCATAGTGCGGGGACATTTTAAATTGATCGCCAATGAAAGCGCAAGGTGGGAGATGCCTATGAAAGCTAGGATCATAGTTAGGGTTGGAAGGGACCTCAGGAGGTCATCTAATCTAACCCTATGCTCAAAACAGGACCATTCCCAATTAGATCATCCCAGCCAAAGATTTGTCTAGCTGGGTTTTGAAAGCCTCCAAGGATGGAGTTTCCACCACCTCTCTGGGTAACCTGTTCCAGTGCTTTACTACCCTCCTAGAGAGAAAATTCTTCCTTATATCTAACCTAAACTTCCCTTGCTACAACTTGAGACCATTACACCTTATTCTGTCATCTGCCACCACTGAGAACAGTCCAGCTCCATCCTCTTCTGATCCTGAAAGACAGGTGCATTGGCACCAGCAGGTCAGGCAATAGGGTCAGGCCCAGCTCTCCCAGGGTGCCGGGCAATCTCCTAAACAACACACCAGACTGGTCATGTCTACACATCCCTATTAACACTCAGCAATAAGTTCTAGAGCAATAAGCTCTAGAGCTTACTGCTGCCAGAGGCGTGTCTACACGTGCAGCACATTTGGCTGGATCGCAGCAGCCTGGCTGACAGGGGCCTGGGGAAGGTCAGCCTGCCAGCCTGGGGCTGCTCCGACCAGGCTCAATGTACTGTGGAGGGGCTGGGTGGGACACAAGGGTGCTTCAGCAAGGGGCTACCCAGCAGGCTGCCCCGTAGTGAAGCACTTTTCTGCCCCAGGTGCTATGGAGTTTTAGTTTCATGCACCCTAATAGGGGTGCATGTGTAGACACTGAGACATTTACTGGGCAGTTAATTAGGAAAACTGCGCAGTAAATGTCTCATGTAGACACATCCATTGGCTCCCAGTTTTTCCCTGCCACAGGCTTTCTGTGCCGTCTTGAGCAAATGAAGCCAAAGACTGAGAACAGTTGCTCCCCCCCTCTCCTGCCCCCCATCTTCATGTAGCCCTGGGGTAACTGGAAAGACAGCAGCTTGTTTTCTGCCTTTTCCTTCACTAATTCAGCTGCAGAGTCTATGGGAGCCAGTGAGCTCATAGGTTGAAAGTTTCGGGTTCCTGCCCATAGCCCCACATACAGAGGTGCTGGATGTCTCTGGGGAAAGACAAAGACAAATGCAACATCATTCACAGCCCCCTGGTTGGAGAACAGGGCCTCTGCATAGTTTAAAATGAGAGACCTAAGAGAAGAGAAGGAGACATGAACTATTGCAGTGTAGCAGCTGGGGTCTCCATGGAGACTGGTCCCAGCCATGCAGGCAGGGGCTGCTGGGAAATGGAGTCCACTGCCAGACAGATCTGGCCTGTGAGCCGAACTTTGTCCACCCCGGACTAGAACCTGAGCCTCCCATTTCCTGGAAAGTACCTTAACCACTTAGCTAGAAGGTAGTAGGCGCTGACTGTCCCCCTACCTGCTAGCCAAGGTTTTCCTTCATCTCAAATTTTGGGATTCACCCAGCTTTAACACACATACCTGGTGATTCTGTTTCTATTCAGCAGTTGATTGCCTAGAGCACAGCCTTACTGGGCAGGCTCAAATGGCTAGCGTGGCCACTGCTGTATCCCAGAGTATGCATAAGTACCAGAAACTGTGGTTCTACAGCTACGTACCTGCCAGTAAGGCACAGAAAGGGTAAACAGGATCTGGCCCTTAGTGGCCAGAACAATAAACTTGGACTCAGGAGACCTGGGTTCTCTTCCTAGTTCTGCTGTTGAGTGACTTGGGGGAGGTCACTTCCCCTGCTCTGTGCCTCAGTGACCCAATCTGTGAAGTGGGGGTAGTGACACTGACTTTCTTTCCTAAATGGCTTGTGATCTTCTGTGACAAAGCATGCTATAAAAGCTGGGCATTATTATTATTAACTCATCTGTGTGAGTTACATTAGCTCAGGCACCTTTAGCAGTAGAAAGTAGTTGGTCATAGGCCTGATGATGGACCCTAACATCCTCCCAACACAAAGGCACCTCAGTGAGAGCCGCTGGGTGACATTCGACCTACATGCATGCAGACACCATCTCCAAGCTGCCTTCTAAGCTGTCACTGGAGGCTGTAGAAGATGCTGAAGTCTCCAGACAAATTGGTTTAGTGCCACCCACGGAAGGGGAGGGACCCAGCAGAAATACCTCTCTGAGAAGCTTGGGTTCTTTCCTTTGCATTAATGTTGTTCTTGAGTACAGGAGTGCAGACTCAGTGTTGAGGAGGGGCCTTGGGAAATCCTTTTAGCTAACACACCCACTTCTCCACCTACCCATGCCTGAGAAGAAGCTCTCAGAGAGAGATGCCAGAGCCATGCTTGCCACCCTTAGAGCCATTAGCATGAAGGAAATGGGTCAAAATTTAGTCACTGATGTGTTCTCCCCGTGTTTCACTCCCAGAGCTGTCTCCTGGGCAAACTCCACCACTAACAGAAACCTGAGCATCCACAGCAAATGTTTTACCTGCAGAGGGCAGGGAAAGAGATGCCCCTGTCACTGAGGAGGCAGGGGGCTGTTTGAGGGATGACATATTACCTTATTTTCCTATTTAAAAAGCCTGTGTAAGTGTGCACAGCCAGGGAACACCAGAAGCAGCAAGCATAGCAAATACCTGTTTCATTTACATGCAGGTGGGTACTTGCAAGACCATGATACTATGACCATGCTCCCCTTCCCTGTATATGAAGAATATATAAACCTAGCTAGCTCCAAGATGGAGCTTGATAAGTTTATGAACAGTGTGACATAGCTTAATTGTCTGCTCTCACACAGGATTGGACTTGATGAGCCAGGGTCCTTTCCAGGCTATGTCCTATCCTATATAGAGGGTCCATTAATCTTGCTAAGGCAGAGCAAGAGCCAATGTCTAGAAGATGAAATTAAAGAAACTTGAATGGGAAATGAGGTGCAAGTTTTACCAACGTGGGACACTGAGCCCCTGGAGCAGCTCCCATCAAGAGAGGATATGATGCCTCTATCTAAGAGCTGTGCTCCAACTCCAGCACAGGGGCTAGGCCAGAAGCTGGGATCCCTGGGTGAGGTTCCTCAGCCTGTGCTCTACAGGAGGTCAGATAGGAGGGCCAGGATGGGCCCTGCTGGCCTGAACTTCAGTGAACACCCTGCCAGTCTTTGTGGGATCTATGGCAGTATTTGGAGCACCAGGGAAGCAGGCCCCCCACGTGAGAGCCTGTCAAGTCCTGAGGATCTGCCCCTCTGCACACCCCATTCCCTGACAGTCCAGTCTTGAGTGTAAAAGAGAGTATGTGGGGCAAAGACTGAGCCTGCGATAAAATACTCCGCACCTTGTCTGTGATGCCTCATGCCTGCTGTGAGACAGGACTGCATCAAGGGCCCTGCACTCCTATCCTACTTGCAGGCAGCACTGGACCTGAATCCCAGGACAGCTCAGAGAGAAGGTCAGGAGACAGAGATAAGGAGTGATACCAGAAACGTAGGGATCTGGGGTTTCCATTGGATAAGAGGGGCCCACAGATAGGCACTTGGTTTGTCCCACTTCCGCTTGCTACCACTGAACAGGAGTAAATTTGGCTGTACCAGGCACCAGCTGGGGTCAGGCAACTGCATGGTAGCAGAGACACTAGGGAAAGCTTAGCTAGACTGCACCTTGACTTTGAGTCTTTTTTCTTTTCAGGTCCCTTCAAGCCCTGCGATCACTTGTTTGAGAGCTGGGTCATCCGCCTGGGTGTCTGGGCCATTGTGCTGGTCTCAGTGCTGTGCAATGGGCTGGTTGTCTTAGCCATCTTCGCCTCACCTGGTTACCTCTCACCAGTCAAGTTTGTCATTGGCTCCATAGCTGGGGCTAACATGCTGACAGGCATTTACTGCAGTATGCTGGCCTTCGTTGATGCCCTGACATATGGGCAGTTTGCCAAGTACGGTGCCAGGTGGGAGACAGGCGTGGGCTGCAGGGTGACAGGGTTCATGTCCGTGTTTGCCTCAGAGACTGCCGTCCTCCTGCTGACCCTGGCTGCTGTGCAGTGTAGCATTTCAGTCTCTGGCATCCGAGTGTATGGAAAGTCACCCTCCTTCAGCAGTGTCAAGGCAGCTGCCCTGTGCTGCCTGGTGCTGGCTTCTATGGCTGCAGCACTGCCTCTCTTCTCTGTTGGCGAATATGGAGCATCTCCTCTCTGCCTCCCATATCCCATCCCAGATGGTAAATCTTCAACTTTAGGCTTCATGGTGGCCCTGGTAATGATGAACACACTCTGCTTTCTGATCATCACTGGCACCTACATCTGGCTCTACTGCAACCTACTCAAAGGGGAGCTTGACACCATCTGGGACTGTGCTATGATCAAGCACGTAGCCTGGTTGATCTTCACCAACTGCCTCCTCTACTGCCCGGTGGCCTTTCTCACCTTCTCCTCCATGCTCAACCTCTTCCTCATCACTCCTGAGGTCATCAAATCTGTCCTGCTAGTGGTGCTGCCCTTGCCAGCCTGCCTAAACCCCCTGCTTTACCTGCTCTTCAATCCTCACTTCAGAGATGACCTGCGCCTGCTGAGACAAAAAGGCCAGGGCAAGGAAAGATGCTCCCAGTCCTACGCCTCCGATGACATGGAGAAGAGCTCATATGACTCCACCCAAGCTCTAGTGACCTTCTCCGACATGGACCATATGTTTGAGGCTCCTGACACCCTCAGCGTGCACCCCATTCTGGAGACATACAGTTTCCCCTCCATGACTCTCATCCCCTGCCAGCAAAGGATGGGTACCAGAGGAAAAGAGAGAAGCTACTCAGCCCACCACCCCTGCCTGAATGATGATGAGCTGTTAATTGCCTCAGAGAGCAGAGACCCAGCCAGCAGCAGTCTCCGGATAGACTTCTTCCCCTCCCCACCCACGCCATCCTATACCTCTCACTTATAAACTACAAAGTGGCCATGCAGAGCAGCCCCCTGCCCAAAGAACTGAGAAGGAGCCCCAGCTTGGGGCAGCCAGCAGGGCAGGAGACAGGCTGCTTCACATAAGGTATCAATACACCCCACCATCACGTAACTGTTGTTAGCACCAGCATGGTAAGCCTGACATTGCACATAGAAGGGCCCTGCATGAGCTGCCATGCCAGAGGCTCAAGGGCCTTGAGACTGAGACTCCTGCATGAGTGTAAAAGGAATCACCCTTTCTCTTGCTTGCAAATACATGCGGGGAACCCACTAGCTAAGGGCATGTGTCACAGAAACTTTCCTCCCAGGGGTGCCCCAGTCATGGCCGTAGCATGACAAGGCAGAAAAAACATCTAAGGAGAGCATAAATGTGTGGCAAAGAACCCAGACACGTCCCCAAGGGAATGGTAGAGTAGGAGCTCTCCAGAGACCAGAGGCAGTGCCATGGCCACAGAGCTTGCCCTGCTGCCCTCCGACACAGTGCCTACCCATACCAACTTTGACAGGGCAGCTCTGAAGCTAGCCCAGCACTCTGTCCTAATCGCCAAGTCCCCTGGTAGAAGTGTCCTGGGAGAGGAAGGGGGAGGGTACAGAAGAGCCAACAAGTGGGAGGGAAGCGGCAGTAGACAGAAAATGTAGCTGCCTGGCAGTAGTGGGATGGAACTGAGGCCACTGCAGGTTGTATAATTCATGTGCTCAGCACCGCACAGTGCCCCAGGAAGCTGGTCAGTACCTTCCCCATTGTACAGGCAGGAATTCCAAGACTGATCATGCAGGTAAATAGTTTTTTGGTTTTTTTTTAAATAGCTGCAGTGCTTCATTACCTCCATTTTGGGAGCACAGTTTGGGATACCTGGAAGTCAGAACAGTGGTGAATGCCCCCAAAACAGAGGTACACAAATCCAAGAGATGTGGCTTTAGAGACATGGCTGTGTGTGCCTTGTTCAGAGGACCACAGCAAGTCACCTGGGAGCCAGTACTGGAACTTAGGACTCCATGTCCCCTGGGGTAACACCCCAGACCAAGCTGCCTCCGTACTCTGGAGCCGGACAGTGTTTGATATGGGGATTTTGCTGAGAGCTACAAGGTATTGGGTCAGTGTAAAGAAAATAATACTAAGGGAATAGACTACTCCCAACCTGTGCCCTTGTCACCCCAGCACCTCCCACCTGAGAAGTTTTCAGTGCTAGGTTTCTTGTCCTCCATGTACCATGGCAGGACAGGAGGATGCGTTTCTCCTTCCCTCCCTGCTGAGCAACAAATCTGGAAGGAATGGGGGTGTGGGAGTGGTGAGCAACAGAGCAGAATGACAAAGTCAGGAGGCTACTGGGAACATTTACAGATCGGCTCAGTGAAGCTCAAGGACCTCCCTGAAACTAAGCATGCTGGCCCACCAGTGCAGCCCGTTCAGAGGCCACAGGTTCTGGTTCTGTTGACATTGCAGCAGAAGTACTTAATCCTTTCTGAGTTAACAAGTGAGGCCCTGATGGTGACCTTTTGCATCAAAAGGCAGCTACCTTACTAGCTCCTTGGACAGGCTTGTTTCCCTGTTTCACTCAGTTATAACCACCTCAAAGTTAACAAGGAGATACAAGGTAAAGGATAGAGCCTGTAGCTGCAGTCAGTGCTGCTAGAAGAATCTTTTGCATGCAGCCCAGGGGGAGAAACCTGTCCCTGATCCACTGGGACTTGTGGTTTATGTAAGCTTTTCTCCCTAAAGCTGGCCCCCTAGAGAGGGGATAATGGGCATTTCCTGTGTTGATGTCCAATGATATGCCCCTTTGGGGAGAATCTCATCCTGGGGCAAAGCCCTTCCTAAGGCACATGTGTTGGAGTCACGTCTGTGTTTCTTCAGGCACCATCTGCTGCCTCAGGAACACAGCTCTGGTGTGGACAGGCAATAGTGATGGCACACGTCAGAACTCAAACCCACCCCCCAGATCCAGACCCAGCCATGTAAATCTCCCTCCTGAGCAACTTTCCCATCAGGTCTCTTCCTATGACTTTGCTCTTGCTAAATTCCCATTGATTTCAGCTAGGATCTGCCCAAGTAACTCCTGCAGGATCAGGCCCATTATTATTTAGCTGTACAACATAGTCCAAAACCCAGTCCCATCAGCTGGGAAGGTGAACGGCATAGGGAGTTTTTCAGTTCTTTGGAGATGAAGAAGGAAGGTAGCTGGGGAGCATGAGTAGGGAAACCTGTACTACCTGCTTCTTGCTTCTGCCGGGTCACAGAGCACAACTCGCACCCCCTTTGCAAAGAGGTGAGAGGACATGGCTTCATCCCAGCACCATTCAGTACAGCTGCCCCCCCCCCGCTGGTCAAACTGCCCAAAGGACACTGGTATCTGGATGACTGTGCTCCAGTGACCTCTCCCCACAACCCCTGGCTACAGCAGAAGGAAAGATATGTGGTTACTACACAAGTATAGGGGATTGGAGAACGAAGGTATGAAGTAGAAAGCGGGAGGAAGATACAGTGGGGGGGGAGCGGGGCAGGAAGGTCAGGAGACAAGTCAAAGAGGATCCTTGATAGTGGACCTGAAAAATAAGTGAAGAGGAAGAGCTTGTAGTAAAAGCAGGAGAAAGATAATAAAGGGACCATGTCCATGGGGCATTTTCACCCAGTAATACTAAGCTGCCCAAAATCTGTGCTGGGAAGGGCAACATATACATGAAATGAACAGTAAATAAATAGTGAAGAAGGGACAACACTCTTTTGGGGATATGTGACAGAGACTGGGAAGGTATGAGAACAGGCGTGTTTCCTCACATGGGCACTAGGGCTGTGTGAAGCTTCAGGTGGTGCTTTGATTTGGAGGAGATTTGGCCTGATTCGGTGGCCGAATCCAAATTGAATCCAGGGACCAATTAAAAGGTCCAAATTGATTCAAAGCTCTCTGAATCTTCGGCAACGATTCAGAAAGCTTCAATGATTCAGGCAGTCCCCGGTGGCTGGTAAGTACTAGGAACTGAGGAGGGGACCATGGGAGGCAGCAGCCAAATCTCCAAATCAGATTCAGCTGAATCGATTCTGGACAGCGATTCGAATCACCGACTCAAATCACTGTCCCCTGAATTGGACAAATCCGAATCTGAAGCAACTAGTAGCCACTTCGCACAGGCCTAATGGGCACGATGTCAGTCTCTGCTGCAATCCTGGTGCCTTGTCTGCGGTGTGGCTGGCTCTCATGCTGTGTAGGGAGCAGATACGAAACTCTGAAAATATTTTGGGCTGTAGGGAAAGCAATGGACACCACCTAACTTACATGCAAAACTACAGTTGTTGCCAAGCAACCTGGGCAGGAATCAAAAACAATCACATTTTCATCAAAACTTAGCCCAAGCCGCAGTATCTGGGTGATGGTCTAGGTTTTAAGCAACCTCAAAGTTCATGGAGGTTCAAACCAAAGACTTTGGTCCAGCCAATTATAAAGATCAGATTATTGTAGAATTCAAGTCTAGGCTCAAACTATAGCCAGGGTTACTTGGGCAGAGAGAATTAAATTGGACCCATTTCTAATGACAATAAACTTTTTTTTAAAGGGGCTTAAGCATAAGATCCCCATCATTCAAAACCTAATTAACAAGGAAATACCAAATTATGAGACACCTCTTAACCGAGTCTTAAGATTGTCCACATGTTCCCCCTGATAGTCAAACTCCACCTTGTCACAAGCCACCACCTAACAGGAAATTTTCACATGCAACACACTATTCTGTTACAAACTTGCAACTCTTATCCTGGCTGACACATCACGCTTACTTTGCACAGTTGTATTCTGGGTTTCTGGAAAGGACACGGTCTTAATTATGACATAAGGATGGACCACTGCAGGCAAAGAGTTAATCCAGTGTTGTGCTTATTGCTGATATCATGGTGAAAAGGCGGGGAGCAGACTGAAATTGTGTGTTTGGGTTGGGAGCTGAGGGGAAGTCAGAAAAGACAGCAAGTGGGAGCCCACGTTTATAGAGATGGTGGGAAAGTTTTTAGAGCTGAGTGCCAGGTCAGGGTAGAAAGTCACTGGTAGTAGCATAACTAAGGGGGGCACCAGATCATGGCACCAAGTTTGGGGGTTGGGGGGAGTGCTAGCCTGGTCACCACCATTAGCAGCCCAGCCACTGCTACTGTCCTGAGCACTGCCCAGGTATGCCCCTGGTCAGAGGAGTAAGAAATGGGAAGAGGAATAGGAGTCAAGGAGCTGAGGGACTTGGTGCACTTACAGCAACTCTCATGATTTTGTTGTAAGCTTTATGACATCTGAAGTTTTTCTTAAGTCTCATTCTGGGAATCAAGCAATTTTGAGGATCTCAGATTTCATTTAGAAAAAAGTAAGTGTCCAGCTCTCAGTGTTGGAAAAACTGTGACCACTCCAAAACCAGAAATCAAACAAAAAAACCCACCATCCATTTATTAAGTTTCAAAGCTTATGATTTTTAAGTGAATCTTGTGATCTCAGGGGCCTGACTCATGATTTTGGAACAGTCAGGGATGGCAACAGTGATAGCCACGTGTGTTTACATGTCTCAAGCAGCCTGTCCCCAGATAAAGATTAATAGCTCTCTCTTGCTCTCTAGTAACACAGAGCCTTTTTAAAACACATCCTCCTAAATCCATCCCAAGATCTGGTTGAGTGCTGTTCATACAACAGGAGGCCTGCTGAGCATAAGCTTCCAGCTCACTTCATTAGCACAAGGCCTGCTGGTCTCAGACTATGAGTATCAAAAAACATTTCATTCGGACTCTTTTCTGTCCCTGAATGTTTGATAAGTTTGAGATTCTGCTGACACTTCCCACCCCCTCCACCCCGCAACAGTCTTGACTATCTGCTAATCCAGCTCACCCTCCCCATGATCTAAAATGGAAGTAACAATAACAGACCCCTGTCCTTTTCCCTTTCAGCCTGTAGGAGGGAGCCCCTGATTATTGTAGGGTGCATATATGTATGGAAAACTCACTGAGGAGGTTGGCATCTAGCACTTGGGGTGATGAAGCCTGTTGTCCCAGATCTTTGGTGGGAGACGGCTCCACAGCCCAAATACAGCTGCACCTGCTTCATTCTCAGGTCTCGCACTACTTGTCATCTGCAAGTGATCTGTCATTTCCATCCTGTGGCAGATGGAGAGTTGATCCCTCAGGCAGTTCAGGCTAGTCTCATGGAGGTCTCAGTGGTAACAGAGAAACCTGGCACTGGACTTTGCCTTGGACAGAGCCAGTGCAGTGGTGGGATTCCCTTGGTGATGTCTTCATATGCTTTGAACTACTGAACAAGCAAGGGTCTCAGCTTTCCTTCCTAGAAGCAATGACTAACAGTAGGCAAGTCTGAAGGCTGTGACTGCACGTTGTCAGGGTAAGTTCTGAGCTGCTGAGATGGAGTGCGATCCTTGAGCTGGTCACCAACAGACATGGGCATTTTTCAGTGCTTTGTTTGGGTGCATAATACATTTTACCTCATCAAGAAAGCATATGTTCCCATCATTAATGATGGATGATGGGACTAAGTGCGTACTTAGCAAATTTGCAGATGACACAAGTCAGGTAGAGGTGCAGACATTCTGGAAGGTAGGGCTAGGATCCAGAATGACCTAGATAGACTGGAGAAATTGTTTGCAATCAACCAGATGAAATTCAACAAGTGCCAAGTTCTGCACTTGGGATGGAATAACTACATGCACGTATACAGATCAGGGAATGACTGGCTAGCCTGCAGTACAGCATAGAAGGCCCTGGGGGTTACAGTAAACCATAAACTGAATATACATATCATATATGTGTGGCCTTGGTGCGAAAAAAGGCCGACAGCGTACTGGGGTGTATTAACAGGAGTGTTACTGGCAGATCAAGGAAAGTGATTCTTCTGCTCTAGTCAATAAGGTCTCACCTGGAGTACTGTGTCTAGTTTTGCTTCTCCCCCACTGAAAAAGAGATCTGGAAAGTGTCCAGAAGAAAGCAAATTATATATATGTGTACACACACACGCATACACACACACCTGGGAAGCAAGATTTACGAGTAAAGACTGAAAGACCTAGTTATTTAGTCTGGAGAAGACTGAGGGAGTATTTGATAACAGTCTTCAAATATCTGAAAGGCAATTACAGACAGGCTGGAGATGGGCTTTTCTCTGGGCTGAGGGACAGGACCAGGAGCAATGGGCTCAAGATCAGGAGGAACTTTCTGACCAAGGATGCTCAAGCACTGGAACAGGCTACCTAGAGTTGTGGAATCTGCATCCCTGAAAACCTGCAAGAGCAGGTTGGACAGACACTTGGGTGGGATGGATTAGTCTGGGATGGTTCCATTTTGAGCATGGGACTGCACTAGATGACTTTGTGAGGCCCTTTCCAACACTGCTTTCCTATGATTGTAGGACTGACTCTTGTGACCAAG